TGGCGTAGTTCTTAGTAGCAGACCATTCCTGAGCCCTTGTGATACATGGAAACTCCTAAGAAGGATAAGCGACAGACGTGGTTATTTAAATAGATTCCAGCAGCACGTAAATGTCAAAGGTATTTACAAGGTTTCCCAGTTCAGCTCAGCGTTTGTATCTGAGCGTCTCTGTCCAACTTGATAGCAGTTAATGTGGTTCATTCAGTTAAGATTTTCTGAAGAAACGTAGATCAAATGTTTTTGTTTCAATCCCATGTGGATAATTTTGATGTGGATAATTTTGTGGCCACTGTCTGGACATCGGAGGTTCATATGTATAATCCAAGAAATTAATATTCAGAATTATTATGGATTTTTTTTAAATTTTTAGGTTGTGAAAATGGATTCTGTAGGTATTTACAACAGGTACCTTATGCCCCTAACACAGGCAGGTTTTGGCACCAAAATATTTTGGTGTCACTGATCTGCTATGTTTTGGGGACCTTTATAAACAACCTCAACTTTTATGTTTCTTTCAAAATATTTTTCTGTCCCTTTTCTTATAAAAGTAATCTTAAAAATGCAAAACTAAAGATAGTAACTTAGCTGCTTTTTCCATACAGCTGCAAATTTTCATGGTCTCTTAAAACTACCAATGATTAGCTCAGGGGGTTCATGAAATAAGTAATCAACAGAGATTTTAGCTTCTTGAGGAGAGTTTCTGAAGTAAATGGCCAGTCTAGCATGAAGGGGCTAACCTGGGTTGCCAGATGCAGTGTAGCTTTGAGCATGAGCATGGGTTTCTTGGTAGCTTGGCATGAATTTTAGTATATGGACTGAGCAAAGGACAGCAGCCTTTTAATCTCATCCACTCTCACATTTACTCCCCGGTGTTCGTAGGTTACCTGACCATTTTTTATTACTGAGAATATTACTCAGCACCACTGAAAAGGGTCTGACTCTGTCTTCTTCACACCCTCCTGCCAGATATTTATACACTTCCCCCTGAGCCCTCTTTTTGGGCTGAACAGTCCCAGCTCTCTCAACCTCTCCTTTTGTCAGATTCTTTTTATTGCTCAATGACTTTTGTGGCTCTTTGCTGGGCTCACTCCAGCATGTCTGAGTCTTTCATCACTCAGAGTTTAAAGCTCTCCCCACCAGGCTGGCCAGCCCGTTGGCAAACTTTACATCTTTGTTTCAAGTTGTTTCCATTTTAGTAATAAATCTAGAAAAGCATTTCAATTCAGAATCACAATCCTCACAAAGGTTTGCTAAAGAGAATAAAGGTACCATTTTAAACTAGGTTTGTTTAAATAGTGTTTATAAAGAGTTCAATGAAAATTTACTCCTTAAGCAGAATGTCAAGTCATCAAATTACAAAAACAGGTAGCACACAGGCTAGCATGGTGCAAAGGCCAACCTTTTCAATTCCATTCTGTCCTTGACCTCTGTACTCAGAGTGCCACCAAGGGGAGCAGTTGTGATGGTGACAGTGTACACAGTTGTCCCTTACAAAGTACACAGAGCTCCTTGGCTTGGCTCATGCCATTTGTTGTTGCTTGTTAATATGAGTCTGGTTCCACAGGGCAGTGGCTACACTTGGATCCACTGCTCTGTGCACACAGCAGGCATTCATTCCCCTGCACAAGCCGCCTCTAAGAGTTTAATGGATACCTGGGTTGTGAATGGCACTCTAAAAATAAATAACCGTAAGAAGACAGCAAAAAGTCCTTCAATCTATATGCAGCCTAGCTGGAAACGGATGCTCCCTTTCCTATTACCAGTTCTTTGACCCAGCTTTCTCCTAAGAAGTAGACTTATTCTTGTGACCACAAATAAAATTCTAGTTCTTGTAATATTTAAAGCTTCAATGTTGCAGAGTTAAAAATGTTTTAAATAGTAATTTGACTCTTGTTTCTTCCTTTTTATTACAAAGCCATAAGTGAAACTAAAATAACTCCTACAATGAAGATTTTTCCTGCCATTTCCTTTGAAAATCTGACCTTTTCTGTGTATTTTCTGTTGCTATTCCTAATGGAAAATATTGCAGATTTTTACAGGTTATTAATGTAAAAAATATTTCAATCACTTCCAGAAGTTAGCCCCCTTTTTATGACCTCTTGGCAAACTTCAAAGGTAGAAGAATTTTTGCCTTCAATTAAATATGATTCCAAGAAATACATACTGACTTTAAAAAAAATTTCTTTAATATTCAAAATATGCTGCCAGCTTCAAATGATGGAATGGGAACTCATACATGAAATTTATCAAGCTTGATGTTGAACCTAGTATGAGTTCTGTGAATGTATGCTTTATATTAGAGGTTATTTGCATGTTCTTGTGTTATCAATATTTTAATAATTCTTTTAAATTTAATCGTCTGAGCTTTCCCAGAACCCAGCAATCATTTGATGCCATTGACTTGATCTATGCACATTGGTCTCAGAACCAATTGAAATCCTGGCCCAAATTCTGTTCCTTTCTGTTTTCATGAGAAAGACAAAACTGCAAGGAGTATATCCACATTCCAAAGATCTGGATGAGGATCACTTGCTGGTATCATTTCCAAGTCAATGGCCCAAGTCAATCCAAATGATGATTAACTGAGGCAAAGTTTACACTGTTTATGAGTTTACATAGTTGTGCTGGCATAGCTACATCTGTTAGGACTGAGAAAAAATTCACCCTTGAATTGCCAAAAAGATGTTAGTCTGCCAGCAACCTGCATCCCTCCTCCAGTACACTCCAGGTCTAGATGTAACTGACATAACAGAGGAGCCTTTTTGCCTAAAAAGTCTGTCTCATTGAACCAAAGAGTGCTTTAGCTGTGTCTGTGAAAGCACTTTGTTAACGTAAACTGTGTCTCAGGTAGGCAGAGTTGGAAGTATAGATAAACCAGAAGAGGCACAGAGCCAAATTTTTACTACATAACCTTCAAATTGTACTGAATTCACCAGGTTGTCTTCTGCAGTTGTTGAAGTCTGACTGGGAAATACTGGCGTGACTTCACTGTAGTTGCACTCCCACAAATTCACAACAATAACAGGTCAAAAGAGGAGTTTTCTTAGGCATTGCCTAAAGTTTGTAGAGATCCCAGAATTGACGAGCTGAATGAATTTAAAGTTATAATTACTAAGTCTCTGCCAGGCACCTCCACCAGATATGAGTTGCCAAACATTGCAGACATCAGTGGAGGCACACAATTAAAGAAATGCTGTGCCATGGCTAATACAAAATTACACGTTTCTCATTTATTTTTGTTGATGACCTCAGATTAATTTAAGAGACTGTAATGGCTCTTGCACATATTTAGATCTGATCTTATTAAAAATTATTAACAGAATTAAATTTTTTTTCAATGCAACCTGGATTGGTCTCCATCTGTAAAACTGCTGAAGACAACATGCAGTAAATCTAAGGGGACTACTGACCTAGATTTCCAGAGGTTGACAAATCTCATCAGGTTTTGATTCATTTGGTGAGTGACTGTAGACTCCTTTGGAAACCCCACCGTAGAATTTTCATGGACAATTATGTTATTGACAAAATTTTATAGGAATAGATTTGATCCTGAAAGAATGTCTCTGGGAATATAAAGCAGTATACAGATTTTTGAAGAGGACAAACTTAGGAGAAATAATATTTCGCAAATTGGTAGAGAATAAAGAAACAATTGTTTTCTTTGGTATTAAAGGAAGTAATAGATGTAAAAGTTATAAATTAAGCTATAATTCCTCGTCTTACTATCTGTTGTCTGAGTCACCGAACAGAGAAAATCCAAGCTGATTTTAATCTTGTAAGTATGATAATTCATAGATTAAGACTAATGAGTGTTTTGTAAAAGTTTTGTAAAAATGCATATATATAACTGGCATCATCATTGCCGGAGACTGGAGCAAGGTTCTAAAAGCCACCAGAAAGATATAGATTGCTGTTTCTCTTCAGACTCTGGGGGAATTAGCAAACTTGAAAACCTCAATTTAAAAATGAAAACACTGGCTTATTGAAAGACTACTGTTGAAAGTTTCAGGAAAATTAATATGCATCAACCTTTATGGTTGCCTGTGTTAAATATGTTCTTTACTGCAAGTAGAACATATATTAAATGTAATGGAATTTTTAGTGTCTGATGTTATCCAGGGAATCAAAGGCAGATTTGGAACAGCCCTGAGCATTTGATGCTTGAGAAACTGAACAAAAATATACTCTCTATGTAAAAAGGCTCCAACACAAAGCAGAAAAGAATGAATAACAAATAAACAGACTATGCCACTGTTTGCATTACATATGAAAAAGATTGTAAAGGGCAGCAACAGTAAAAAGTTTAATATTTTTATGAATATATGAAAAAAACAGAAGGCTGAAGTAAATTTCTGGGAGAGGCCATGCTTGACTAAATTGTTTTAATTCTGTATATCAGCTACTATTGAAGTATTTTTTATACTACATCGGTATCTCCATATTTAGATTATATTTTTGTTGATTCTTAAAGTAACAAACAGACCTTTCAACTAACAGGCTTCTGCTTTTATTCTTTCAAAATTGGAACATGAAAAATGTAGGTGAATTAGTTCTCGTAGTAACAATCATTCCTACCCTGCTCTGCTTACATGTCTAGAAAATAATTAACAGGTTTTCTCTAATGCTTCCTAAAGATGTTGAAACTATAGAGCAAATATTGACTGAGAGGCAGCAAAACTTGCCTAGACAGGAGAAAACAATAATGGTTTATATAACTGAAAACAGTTTGCCAAAAACAGAATAGAAATTCTGGAAACTCTCATTTAAAATTGATGTCGGAAGGGCCAGACATGGTGCATAACGCACCTGGGTATTTGCAGGCCACGCATACGTCCTGCCACCTTTGCAGTACCACACAAAAGTGCTCTTTTGCCTTCCTGAAGATTTGCAGGACCCCAGTTTCTGTCCCTGGAACAGCCTGGGATGGTTTAGCACCTGAGCCAGCCTTTGGGAAGCAAGAGGGAACCAGTCATGAGGGCCTGAAGAGGTTCTGGCATGACCAGGCTTTCAGAAACATGAGCAGAAACTTGCAAGTATGATGTTTGCCACTGTTAATCAGGAGAAGAGAGGAACGGAGTTTGTGGACTAGGTGGAGGAAACAAGTCTGCACCTTGTAACTGGGTTGAGCACATTGGGTAAGAAGGACTTTGGACTGTGGCGTGTAAAATCACAGAGGAGGTGGAGGCAGGTCACTCTCCCCTGTGCAAAGATGGGGTGCCTCTCTTTTCCTTTGTTCTCCCCACACGTGTGCACACCCCTTCCCCCAGGTATGAGCTCTGCCTTTGGGTTAGGAAAACCAAAGAGAGGAATCTGCTCCTAGCCCCTGCTTGGCTGCAGGTCAGGGTCAAAGACCACCTGAGCCCATGCGTCTTATGCAAGAGGCTGTTGTGAAGGGGCCCCAGCCTGCAGCATGCATCAACCCGCCTCCCAGCTCCCCCTCCAATGCTGGCTTCCTAGCTCAGGGGGTTGCGAAAGCCCCAGGACTACATAAAGCATTCCCTGTCTAGGCACCCTGCCACTGCCATCAACACCCGGGCTCTCAAGAGGCTACAGAGACCGGCACTGTCTGTAAGGGACCCTGCTGTGGTGGGCTGGGGACAACCGGGTGCCTTGCCTGCACAGGCATCAGGGAAAGCTGCACGATGCCCTGGAGACCTGTCAGGGCAGCCTTCCTCCTTTCCCCGCTTGTGTGACAGAGCCTGTTTCTGATGCTATTCTCTGTCTGTTTGCTGTTGCTGCAGGGACAGGATGGCCCACACGGAGAGAGCTCTGCCCTGGCTGCTGCTGCTGGCACTGGCTTTGCTGGGCAGCAGCACAGCGGAGCGGGACTGCCGAGTAAGCAGCTTCAAAGTCAAGGAGAACTTCGACAAGACCAGGGTAAATCTTCCTCTCCTGGATCTGTGATGTCTTGCCTAGCTGCTCTTCCCAGGCTATAAAATCTGGCATTCTGTAATGCCACTGTGTTCACATTTTCACCTAAAATCAGACTGCAATATTGAGAAACAGGAGAAGTGTGTGATGCTGCCCGCACCTCCACAGACGCTGGATCCTGACGCATCTGATAAAGGAATACTGCAGAAACTAAGGTTTAGCAGATTGGTCTCAAACTGTATGGTCTAAACAAAAGTGCAGTGATTTGGCTGTTTCTATGAAAAATTAATACTCGTGTTTTCAGACATCATTGCAAGGAAAAAAAAACCCATTTGTATACAGATCTGTCAAGATCTGCCAGTTGTTATCCTCTTCCCACTAAATTTTGCATTCTAAATACTGGAGAACTGCAGATACACAAAAGATACCCAAAAATGTCAATTCTTTCACAAAGCTTGGCTGCACTAGGACATTTTGGTGGGTTTATGCTGTTGGAACAGCTAGCTTTGTTTCTTAGGCACAACTTTGAGGCATGGTGTCAAAGATCTGCACATCCTCTCTGTCACCTCCCCTAGTTTGTGATGTCTGTTTGTAATGTTTTCCATACTTCCAGGTCTAACTGCAGCCTTTCTGATTTCCTTGCAGTACAGTGGCACCTGGTATGCCATGGCAAAAAAAGATCCTGAGGGGCTGTTTCTGCAGGACAACGTGGTAGCCCAGTTCACTGTAGATGAGAATGGACAAATGAGTGCCACTGCAAAGGGCAGAGTCAGACTCTTCAAGTAAGCTGTTTGCAATATTCCTCTTGTTCCATTTCATTAAGCTTCTCCTTCACTTACTGGTGCTCTAATCCTACCTGATATCCCTGTGCTAGTCACACAGCCACACCGAATCTGTGCTGTTAGGTTTGAATGTGATGTTTTCTTTCTCTCTGGCTACAGTAACTGGGATGTCTGTGCTGATATGATTGGCTCTTTCACTGACACACAGGATCCTGCAAAGTTCAAGATGAAGTACTGGGGTGTTGCCTCTTTTCTGCAGAAAGGAAGTGAGTACTTACCTATAGAAGATGCAGAACCACTTGGGAGTTTAGTTATGTTTTATGTCCATGCTGGGGAAGAAAAAAGTAGTGTTGGATTTCTTAAACACCCTTAAAACACGTAACAGCTATCATACAGGAAAGCCTTAATGTGAACAAGGTAATCACTATTTTTTATACGGAACAGCTGGTTGGCTTTCTTTAAACAGGTGAAGACCAGGCCTTTGTATATCTTCGTATTTCTTTTGTTTGTTACCCAACAATATAATGAAGGTCACTGTTTGGAAAGAAATGAAAGGCAGATGAAGTATTTTAAGTCTTGTTTCAGTTCAGAACTCAGTTACCAGATGCTTCTGTTCACTCTGAAAACCCTAATGTCAAATTTGGTCAAGCAGGAAAAAGGATTTTGCAATTGTTACTTTGCTTGGTCTCGTGTCTGCAAATGTAGAGATTTACCTGTTTTAAGAAACAAATATGATCCACTATATATATATTAATATTTTCCTGTCATCTGTCACACCCTATGCAAAATTAGTTTATTGGGCCAGAGATTCAGACACTCAAGACATTTCCATGGATTTCTGAGAGAAGCAAGTGGAATTTGGGAGTGATTGGAGCTCCATTCTCTCCAAAACCACACTTACAAAGAATGCTCTGGATGCCAGTTGCTCCTGAAGTGTTGCCTGATCTCCCCACAGCATGCTGCTGAATCATGTTTTCATGGCTATTTCAGATTGCTGGCTAACCCCAGAATCCACTTTTCTAAAAACTGTGGTCCGCACCCACAGGAGAGGGGGGGCAAGAGAACATACAGTGTTTGCTTCACCAGCACAGACATAGTGCAAGGGAGGAAGGTGCAGAGATGACACTTTTTACTGCAAACACCTAGGTTGACTTCTGTTAGCAGAGGGTGTCTGTGTGGCCAGGTATTTATCAGGTTACCTAGCTAAATAGTCAAGAATTCTCTAAAATTGTAACTGTTTTGAGAAGAGGGTTTATGATAGAGCTTGTAGCAAATACACTTCTAACACACATGGCAACTGCATAATAATTTTTTTCCTTAAAAATACAGTTTAAGTAACAACTCTGGTAGGAAAACAGTTATTGTTTTGAGTAATCTGGAGCATAACTAGAATGATCAAGAGTACATTTAACTTCTTTTTATTTTTTAAACTCTTCTCTGTCTGACTGTTCCCCTTTTTTGATTAAAATACGAGAACTTTCTTTATACTTCCTGGTAGCTACTGTAATACATGGTTCTTTTTTGTGTTTGTTGCCACATTTTATAATGATATTCAGGCATGGATTTACAAGGCATTTTTTAGCACTTCTTCATGCTGCTCTTGTTCTGTGCTCATGTTAGAGGAGAAGCAGTGGTGCCAACCATTTCTTCTTCTCTCCATCACTGTCCCTGATAAATATGTCTTTTCCTTTTTTTTTAAAAAAAAAAACAACCTGCCCCCAAACCATGGAATTGAATACTGGACACAGGAGTAAACTAAGAGCTAATCTGTTATAATTCATACCAATCTTCATCATATTATTTTCTTTGCAGAATTATGGCAGCAATCTCTTTAGATTTACTAGATTTTACTTGTCTCTCTAACACCTTTGCTTCTTTACTATGGATTCTTCCAGATGATGACCACTGGGTAGTGGACACAGATTATGATACGTATGCTCTTCATTACTCCTGCCGCCAACTAAATGAAGATGGCACTTGTGCTGATAGCTATTCCTTTGTGTTCTCCCGGGACCCCAAGGGATTGCCTCCAGAGGCACAGAAAATTGTCAGACAAAGGCAGATAGACCTCTGCTTGGATAGAAAATACAGAGTTATTGTTCATAATGGTAAGAATATTTTTTTTCCTGAGTAATTTTATTACAGGGTTTAATGACTAAAGCACTGGAAATCTCTTGCTCATTAAATAGCAAATGCATCAAGTCTTTTACTTAGTGGCTGTAACACTGTCTTTTGAAAACTGGAGCTTGTAGTAAGTTATTTCCAACTTTTACTTCCCTTATCTGAAGGAGAGCTAAGGTGTATAGCTTTTTCTGTGGCATGTCACATCAGTTGAAACAATAATTAGAGGAAGTTGTAAAACAATTAAGTCAATGTAGTATGAGTAGACACAGTAAGGATAAACTTCATAGTTGCTGTAAAGAGAAATTTTGCCTCTTTAATCAGAACACTTTGCCTTTCTCAACAAAATAGTCATTGAAGGGAATAGAATATATTTTCAAAAGCTTACTGAAAAATTTGAAATTTGAAAAAAGACTTTTGACGAAAATCAGAAGTCTTGGAAAGGATGCCTTGTAGCAGACCCTTTCTCACAGGTCCTCATGCCAACCGTTTCACCAAGGGATGTGGAAGAGGGACACATCCCTCATACTGGAAGCATGACCCTGTCTTGAGTCATATAGTCAGGCAGAACTTGCAACACAGGGAAGGATACAGATTAGCTCACTTGTGCCCAAGTATTTTAGAAAAGGCCATTACGCTACCTTAATCAGTGGTCTGGAAGAAAATGTAATATACTTCCTGGTAAAGATTACACCCAGAGTGGGGAATAGTAAAGAATGTATAAGATAAATCAGATTATTTAGAACGAATAAAATAGTGGCATACTCATCCCTACCCTGCCTTGCATTCTGGAAGACATGATATCTACAGAAGGCTTGACTGGTGAATCAGTTGAATGTGAACTCCCAGTGTAATGCTGTGGCCAAAAGAGTTAATGTGATTCCTGGGTGCATAAACCAAGGATGCAAAAGATGAATTAACAGACTTGTATGAGACTGTTGTGCTTGGCATAGGTCTGCTTGCTATGTCACATTTGATGATAATCATAACTGGAAAGGGTACTGAGGATGAATTAGAAGTTTCAAAGAGCAGAGAAAATGATTGAAAGTTTGTAAAATGTGTTGTCTAGTGGGTGCTTCAAAGATCTCCATCTTTTCTCATCAGAAAGAGGTTAAAGGCTAAGCTGAGCAAAGTCTGTGCTTGCCCACAAAAGCAATGGGAATTGGATAATAAAGGACTTGCAAACATAGGAATAATAAATTAAAACGGATGGAACTTTAAACTGGACACATTCAGAGCAGAAATAAATAGCCATTTGTTTAACTCCAAAGGTCATTAACCTTTGGAACACTTTACCAAGAGCTGTTTTATGTTCTTCACTGAAATCTGTAAATCAAGATTAAAGGCTTTTCTAAACGACATGTTAGAATAAAATGGGATTGACTGAAGGAACTTTTGTGTATTATAAGGAAAGTCAGAACAGATGAGCACAGTCAGCTCTTGTGGCTCTATTACCTGTTCATCTGGTCTATAAACAGAGAGTAATATATTGCCATGTTGTAAAGTAGGTATGCTGATAACAGGGTGCCTGAAAGATCTGCTAAGGTGGGTGGTGTTTAGAATACAGATTAGTGACCTGGAAAAAGTGCCTGACAACAATGACAATAAAAATTTTGTCTTGAGTGAGAATTTGGAGACAACATAACAGACAGCTGAGATCTAAGGCAGTCAAGACTAAGAGGCAGCAAAAATGCAAATGAAATTGGCTTTTGTGAATGATGTGTATGATTGCATAAAGGGTAGGATAAAAAAGAAACAATGTAATTATATAAATTGATATTTCTTGTTTTGAATGCTGCATTCGCTGCTCTTCAAATGAAGTACAGCAAGAATAAAAAATTCTGAAGATGAGAAAACAAAATAATGAAATTATTGGATGTTTTTGCATTAAATCTAAGGTAGATATACAGCTGTCATGCTGTGACTTTGAGAAGTGTGTGTTATGGTGGTTCCTTGCATTTCTGTCAAATCCAGAGAAAGTACTATCCCACTGTAAAATCAGGATATGGTGGAATCTGTGTTTCTATTATTTCTATACTATATGAGGCTTGCAAGGTGATAAATGTATTGTCAATCTTTGCAAGAAAGTATAAACCAAAAAGAAAAATTAAATATATTAATTCATCATTTGTGATATAACTTTGAAATATCTCAGAAATGTAATAGAATGCTTGCATTTTTTCACAGAATATAGAACCAATAGTGTAATTTAAAATAAAAGCTCAGAATGTTTTTTGAAAGCTCAGCATTAAATATTCTAACAGCTGATCATGCTGCCTCTAGTTTGTTACAGAAATATCAAATCTACCAAGTTGCAGCAAGTAAGTGCTGTATTCTTTGTCTGCTATCCTAATTGATATTCAGATGTTAGATGTTGTGTGCAGTGTCTGATAAGGCTATATGAGTTCCATACTGTTTTTAAATGAAAAATAGTAGCCTGGATCCTTAATGCTGTCTGCTTTTTATTGAGGATTATGCCAGAATTTATTTTATGAGCCCAGCACCAAAGTATAAATGAAACTCAAAGCCAGCAATTTGCATTCTCCCCTTACTATGGTCAGGACCTCTAATTACCACAGTGTTAGTCGATTCTGAATTCTCCAGTATCATTAAGCCAAAGTTCCTGCAAAGCACGTACATTTGGGACTGAGACAATGATTGTGAGCTAAACTGAAAAGAACATTTATTGAAGGCTTTGTATCAGAAACTCAAAAAATTCACTTAACTCCTTATGTGTGGGATTGGAAACCTTGGTACTTTAGTTTTAATTCTGCTATTAAGAGCTACAGAATTAGTAGGAGTTGTCTGTACTGACCTGCATTCAGTTGTTATTGTGCTAGAATCCTGACTGTTAATAGAAGCTGCAAGAATAGACTCTAATTGTGCATACTCTGCCTGTGTCTTGAAGCTATTTTTTCCCCAAAGACTTTTCATTAGATTTTTTTAAATTAATTTTGTACTCAAATTAACTAAGTTCCCCAGAAAACCCTAACAGATGTACAAAACTTAACTTGATGGGGAAAAAAACCCCTAAAATATCTCTTCTTTTTATACTGGCTCTTTAAGGCAAAAGAGGAGCCTAGGTAATGACGAGTTTCTTGGTTGTAACTTATATTGCATTTCTGACGGTAGCTGCTTTCCAAATACAGATCAGGCTGTGATACACTTAAGTCTCTCAGAGTCATAGCTCAAGTTGCTTTAAATTACACAATGTGAGCATGGATATCACAGTGGGACTACTTGTAAATACAATACGATGTCATGTTAGTAGCATTGAAAGCTGAATCTGCTGTTAGCATTTACTGGAAGCAAAAATTGTGAATTAAAGAGTGGTATATTCCTTCAGCTGACTTAACTATTGCTGTTAGAAATTTTGGAGGTCAGGAGATTCTTATTTTGTTGGAAGACATTCTTAAATTAATGATTTTTAAAAGGCAAATACTTTTAAGCTTGTTGAAGTAAATAAGTAACTTTTATCACTGATCTATGCAGTACACTGTTTGCCAAAGTATTAAAATGCTCAGGACAGGTGTACCAGGTTGGATGAATTCCTATTTTGTTCTGAGTTCAAAATTCTTTGGAATTATAAACTGCAGAGCAAGGTACTGGCATTATCATTACAAGTAACAGACTACTGGACTCAAGAGCCTTTTAAAGAAATTAGATGTGCATGCATTTTAAATTTGGTGAAAGTTTGTATATTTTAATTTTGTCTAGCGTGGTTGAAAAATGAAATTTTGGTTTTTGTGTGTTTCAGGATTTTGCTCTTAAGGAGATCCAAAACTGTGGAAAGAAACCATGCAATAGCACCATGGATGTAAAGTTAACACATTGATCGGGTGTTCTCTTGAAAACCTTTCAAATGGCTTCATTTAGATTTTGAGTATATTTATCTGAGCTGTGTAGCTCACCTTGTTAATAAACCAATGAAACATTTTAATAAACTTGGATTACAGGGGATGAAAATTGTTTGTATGCACATCTGTACATATGTAGACATTTGTTTTATTAGCAAACCATTATCTTAATGCACTATTTTGAACTGGTGACAGGTGGCGATAATTAAGAATTTAATCTTTCTTTTTTTAGTGATTTCGATTTCTACCTAGAAGAGTTTTAATTTTAAAACCCCAAAATATATGTATTTGCTTTCTAGACCTTTTCTTTTCAAATACAGTGTAATCTTTTTTCTAGGAAATACTGGAAATTGTTCGAAATAAATAGCATTTTAGAAAGGAGGAAGGAATTTCAGTGACCCTATATATCACTGATTGACTTTATCATATGACTACTGAAGACATAAAAAATATGCATCTTTTTTAAAGAACTATTTTAACCAGGTCAAGTAAACATTTATTTATTCTTTATTTATAAATTAACAGGCATTATGTCCACATTTTTATTTTGAGATAGAACCAAACTGGTTATTCACTTGGTGATAATACATCTTTATCAACTTGTTTCCTACACAAAATTGGTTAGTATGCCCAAACCTATGTTCAGGTAGTCAGTTATCTAAGTGTCTAATCAAGTACCTTTTTTAAATAGGACTGAAAAAAAGAGCAGGTACTTTCTGAGGAGGTACATTTTCACTAGAAAGTTGATCTCTCTTACTCAGTAGAAAATAGAGTAAAAATGGATCAGGTGCCCTCTTGATATAGATTCACTATAACTTTATTAAAGTTAATGACATTTGTGCCAACTGAAAATGTACCCACATAGAAATTAAATTGTCTGGTAAGTACTTACTTCAACTATTTTACATTCACCAACTTCACTGCCATACATTGGATTAAATTTTCCAAATCTTACTGAGGCAAACCAGTGAAGTCAAGAGAATTTTACCTGCAGGAATTAAAAATACAGATTTAGCTTTTTTTTTTCCTTCTCTGGCATATAATACTATAACATAGTGACCTATTCAACCTGGGATAGTGTAGACATTAACATCCAAAGTGTGGCACAGCTCAGACTTTAAATAATTATCTGGTAATGAAAGACAAATTTGGTTGTTCATGGTTACTTCTTCTTACAGTGGTTTCTGTACCAGCCCTATGCCTTACAGGGTTCCCTGTACAACAGAGAAGAGTTTCCTGACATTTACGTCTGAAATGGGCAACATTATACAAAACTGGATTGACAGCAGAGTTGGCAAAAGTGAATAATGCTATCCAGAAGAAAACTGATGGCAAAATATTTAAATCTTGTTTGTAGTTCTGAACTAAAATTAAAAGAATAATTACTGTAATTGGGCTCCACATGATGAAAAAAGAGATCATCAACACAAAAAGGGCTCGGAATAGTTTGTAGTCCTGCTGGGAAACACGAATCTGATGGTTTTCTGAGTAGGCTAAACCAGCGTTTAAACTCCTTCTTGATGCTTTTGTAATCTGCAGTAAAAGAGAAGAAAAGTTCATTGAAACCTAGAAGAATTATTAACACATTTTTACAAGCGCAAAAGTAAATCTTGGCACGTGATCTTTCTGTTTTGAAAAGTAACTACAAAAAAGGCATTGCAGAATTCCATTTTTACTTTTTGTCAACGGTTCCATTTCAAACAGTCTCACTTTACTAGCATTTATTTTTCCTCTCAGCTGTGAACTCACCTCAATATTAGGCAAGCTGTTTGTTCTCCTCGTGGCTCTCTACCAGCCATAAATACTTTTCAGCATAAAACAGAGCCTTAATTACTCATGAAATCCCCTTAACTTCAAATTATGACCTCATTTGTTCTATCTAAATAAACCCATTGATTTTTTCCACAAATGCAAACTGGAACACAGTTAACAATCCTGTTGATGCGCAAGAAGGAACGCAATCCAATTCTCTTATGGCCATGCTGCTATTATAAGGTAGGTATTAGAAGGAGCATGAATTGATTACAGTAACTAAATCATGATACATTTGAAACCTGAATGGGATTTCACGTTGTTTTGTGTAAACTTTTAGTTTTTCAGTCAGTAATCAGAGTTGCTTTCTATGAACTAACCCGAAATCTTATGGATCCTTTTGTCACTATGAAAATCTGTGTCTTGTGAAATACTGTCTGATGTAAAAAACCCAACTATGCGTAGTTTGGGAATCTAGTATTCATGGGAGTGAATCATCTGTCGTCAGGTAGAATATTGAATCCCAGTGGCTTGCAGAAAACTCTAAATCTCATGCTCTACATCCCCGTCTTCACTGAAGTGGGCACAGCACATTAAGTGTCACATTCACATATCTGATGCAAATAAAATTGAAATATTTAGCAAACAAACATTAAGGCTAAATAATGCAGATGCCATTTTACCCCCTGTATGGGTAAAGAAGGAGTATTTTCAAAAGCCTGGATCAATTTGGTGTCTAAGCAGCAAATTCAAAAGGCGTAAGACTCTTACTGCCACTTTTGTCTGTGACATTTCTCTTTAGCAAGAACTAAAGGAAGGATAATGCTAATACTAGTAACACTTAATAGCTTCCTGGTTCAGGTAAGGATGAAAATGGTCATTTATATATTGAGGAATTTGTCGTTCTTTCTGCAGTTTTCTGAATTTGTCACAGAGATAGATGGCCTAGAATAAATATTCATTGAGAACCTAGGCATCTATCAAAGATTTCAACAGAATGAAGGGGACAGTCTCACTAGCTGCTTCCCTGGTTTCAAAGGGGCAGAGAATGCTGATGTTTTGAACATGGAGAACTATTCCAGCCTGATGAGCTTCTGCTGTACCCACCCATCTGGAATCCAGAAACTATGCTAACTCCTCCAAACAATCCAGTCCAAGAGTTGCTCTTGGAGAGCACCTAACCCGTCTTAGGAAGAATGAAGGTTTCATAAAATACAAAGGACTAATACCCACTTCTAACACAAAAGTGGGAAAACCAAGTTCTGTACCCTCCTCAGCCTCCACTGTTCAAAACAGCTACAGAATGACCTCATCAGATACCTTTGTATCTGTCCCATATAAGTACCCTCCATCTTCCCTGCTGGGGCTGCACAGCCTAGAAGTAAGAATGCCGGAATCACCAGGACTGCAGTAAATAAGATGCAACTGCAACTTAAGGAAGTACTCAACTGAAACAGGGTGGCAGCGATATGTTTTGGATCCCCTTTTTGGTCTGCCTAGTGTAAGGAACCTAGACACCTATGGTGGGCATCTGGACCACACTCTGAGGACCAGGAACTTGGAAGTTGTGTATGTGCAAGTACGTAACTTCCAGAACATAAACGTCTTTCTTTACTAGTTCTAGCCTCTTACCTGAGTCTTGCCTGAGTGGCAGAACAATGCAAAAACAAGTAACTTAATTACAAATCATGGCTTCTAATCTGTCATTGCTGCCAGGGGTCTGGGAAGCGTTACATAAAAATAATACTCCGTTTCAGATTCAATTGTAAAGCATACACTTGTAGAGTGTATTTGTTAACAAATGTGAGGTCTTGTATCTGTAGTGAATCATCATCATCATAGATGCTGTGTTAGTGGAATACAGGAACGCTTTGAACTTCTTCCAGTAACGCTGAGCACTGCACTCTGTGCACATAGGCATCATGGAGCGTTCTCACCAAGTGAGAGTGAATCTGCTCTTGGGAATGACTTGGGGATTAAGACATTCTCCAGCCGAGTTCTGGTTGCTTCCTGGAGGGCTGCGTGAGAGGGAAGATTCAATTACAGCAGATGGGATCCTGCTATGGGCCTCATTCCTTTTTCAGTTCAGGAGAAACGGTAACACATCTTAGCATCTGCGTTATCAAGCTGGAAAAGAAAGGTGAGCGTGACAGCACGGGGCTGTCTTGCAACCCACTACACCAAACGCTTTTTGGGGCTTCTAGCTCCCTACGTGCCATTGTGTTTTCTAAATTTACCTGCTGTAATCTGGAGTCTGCAAGTACAAGAGGAACACTGTTCCTGTCCCGGTCTCTGACCAAGGACTCTACCCTCTCAGTGGCTCTGACTCCTCTCTCAGCTGCTGTATGCTCTTTGCCTACAGCAAATACGAGGTTGCAAAAGGCAAGTGCCTTACTTCACTAGAAGAGGTTTACCTAATGCATTTACCTCAAGGTTGTCATGGACTTACAGAGCCTACAGAAACTAAGAGCTGATGATTTTGACTATGAGTTTAAGCCTGATCAATAGGCAAGTACATGTAGAGCCCAGATTCTAGGTCCTAGGTTCATGGAAACATCTATGCGCAGCTCTGGTGCACGCACCCACAGCCCCTTGGTGCTCAGCAGTTCATCAGTTAACTCCCTGCTCAATAATCTGTGCATTTTGAAGTTCCTTTCCAAAACCTATACTTTTCCTTATATTTGATTACCTAATACAGTTACCGAAGTTTGATTACCTAATACAGGAATCAAGAATCTTTTGGGAGCAGTTGCTAAAAATGAGGCGTTGCAGCGCCTGGTTTGAAGATTTCTAGCTCTTTTTCACTCTGTTTCTGGAAGAGGAAGGGGTATGAAATCAGATGTTTTGAAAGGAATTTAGGTAACTAATACCATGCTTGCTAGAATATAGATTAAGCTGTGGTGCCTGGTGTCTTGGCCTACATTTCAGCAGTTAAGCATCCACTTGGAAAGAAAATGGAAGCAGAATGTTTAATTGACAGTTTTTGTTTGCAGAGTTTGAAATTGTGGAGGAATAAGCGTAATCTAACGAGATCTGTGTACTAAGAACACATACAGAAAATCAGTAGATCTAAAAGGGAATAGATTTTTCCTAGTGGTGCCTCTGCTTTCTTACAAATCCTTTGTGACTCTGGAGCTTAGGCTCAAGGAAAGTAAAATCTATTTTTTAGTTATTTCAAATGCTTGACTTTTAGCATTTAAGAAACCGACAGTCTTTAAACGTGAACAGCACCTGAACAGTGAAGTGTATTAAATACTACATATAAATGAAGACAGATTTTGTGTTGGGCTTCTGGTAATGTGCTGCTCAAGGACACTCTTAACTGAAACGTATAGGCTGGTATGTACAGGTTGAAGTGCCTCACTTCATACCACATACTCACCATTTATTGAGCAAGTGATATCTATTCCCTGTGGGTGTATTTGCACTCAATGACAACATGTTGATGCCTACCGAGTTATTGTTTACTTCCCTTTGTTCTACAACACATTTTAAAAGAAAAACATACCTGTAAGATTTTGGAATAACTGATGACAATGACTAATCCTGGTATTAGAAAGAAAACAATGGCAAAGGTCACATCCCAAACTATTTCTCCTGCAATGCTGGGCCAAACCAAGGTGCAAATATGAATCTCCTGTTTACAAAGAATAAAGAAGAAAATTAACATAGTGTAGTTATTTTTTCTGCACCGTGGTCCTTATCTACCTCTATGCCTACAGAGAAAACTGCTGCAGACTAAACCGAGTCTGTGAAAACCTTCTACTCAGAGCAGTCCATTAACGTATTACTTCATGGTTTTAAAAGCCAGTTAGAAGAGTTACAAATAGCCGTGTTGTCCACCATCTAAATATTGCCATAAATTTCCTATCGAATGCTAAGGGCAACGTTCAAACTGAAACTCACAGACCGCAAACTTAAATCGTGTATCTGAGCGTCACGTTGGGTGGACTTCGGTGCGCGTTTCAAACCACCGGGCAGGAACACCCGCGCCTGGCCCGTTCGCTGAGGGCAGCTGCGCCGACAAGGGGGGCTCCGCGCAAAAGCATCCCG